CAATAAGACAGTCCTCAATCAGTGAGAACTTTGCACCACTTGTTTACACTCTGTCAAAACATAAACAAAACAAAAAAAGAGCAGAATCTCACTGAACCAAAACCTCCATATTTAATTCATTTCTCGCTTTGTTAACACAAAAGTTAATTAGTCCACAAAGGCAACATAAAACGTGGTGCGGCAAACAGTGTTTTTTTTCTCCTGATGACACAAAGCAGACTGACAAAACAAACAGACGGCAGGGTGGAGAGGGAGGGGAGCGGAGAAACTATGCTGAACTACTCGGCAACAGCCACTCAAGTCGTGACGTGTCGGCGGTGCTTCCTGCAGCGCTTTAACCCGGGTCCTAGAGACAGTATTGGAGCTTTCTATTCGCTACTTGACGCTGTTGCTATGGGGGCTGTGCATGTCGGGGCGTGCACGTTTCACCGTGCGTGGAAAAAGAAAACACACACACTGTGTGTGTGTGTGCGCGCGCTGAGTTTAGGATTAGGGCTGAAGAGCTTCAAACGTGATGAAACTTGGTTTTATTATGTCACTTTGTTTGTTTGTTTGTTTACTGTTGATCTGCCTGCCCGGATATTAAAAGCTTCCGCCTGAACTGGTGACCTTGTTGAACTTTAAACTTTAGTTTATTTCCCCTCAACTCAAGCGTAGCGAGAACATGCAGCCCAACTTTTTAAAAACCTTTTATTTGAGTTTACAGCTTACTGTGACACGCGCATTTTGTCTGAACTGAACTGCTTTTGTGTTTACAAAAATGTAATGTATTGTTCTGCTAAACCTTCTGGTGATTTCTAAAATAAAACAAACAAATCGATCATTGCTGATAAAGTAACGCTCACGCAAGGCGGAGAAATATTGAATAAAAGTTTCTATGACTGGGTAATGAATTCTGCTGGGTTTCATCATCATCTGCTGGAAATAAAAGGCTGGCGTTTAAAAAGAAGAGGCAGTGGTCTGCTGCTGGCTCACAGCCAGCCTGCACGCGCCGCGGCTCGGTCGGGGCGTGTTTTGATGTCTCGCGGAGCTGCAGTTAAATAGAGCGCGCGGTATGAAATGTCCGAGACCAAAGTCTCGAAAAGCCTGCGCGTGGAATAGAATAAAAACTGTTTATGATTTACCAGACCGCTGGTCTCCATAAACACGCTGTTCTAAAGTTCAAGTAGAAAGAGCCTCCTGTATGGCAAAACAATATATCATATATCATATAATGATTAGAAATGTCACGTAGAATCAAAAAGAACTACAAGGAGCTAGTTTCATTCTTTCAGCCTTAAAATGGTGGATTTCTTTTGTAAGAATTTTATTTCAGAAATCCACATTGCTCATTTTATTTACGAACAATGCTGTGAAAACGTAGCTGAAAAATAATTTTAAATGAACAATGCCATAATTACTTTAGGAAGAACGACGTTTGAAGAATCCAAAATAGTTAGCGTTAAATAAATGCCATTCTGCGAAGACAAAAGGTTATTTTTTAAATAGTAATATTCGTCTGGCCATTGATTTTTCTTACAACTGCTGCAACCTTTTTGTTATTATTATTATTACGTTTCGTTAGAGAAGAACCCGTCCAGAAGACCTATACAATTTTTTTCTTTTTGATTTTTTACCTGGATTACTGAGATGCATCAGGACATTATTATTATTATTTAAATATCTTAAAATTAGATTTTACTCGCCTTCTTGCATATATATGGTAACACAAGATAAGGTAACTTGCTATAATATAAGAAAAAGAGTCTAACACAACTTGAGCTTTGAAATTTTTAAACTATTTTACAATATTTATTTTAATTGTAGATAATACTCATTTTACTTCTATCTATTATTTTGACTTCAAGGATATTTTAGACACCTAAAAAAGTAACAAGCGAGTGAGGTTAGAATATGTTATAACGGCCTGCCATACATAATTATTTCGTTTCCCTCAGAATGTCACGCTTTGATAAAGCAGATGTGTAAAACACGTCAGAGAAACTTTAGACAAACAACTTACATCCAACGTCAGGCGAAAATGAATGGAGGGGGATGACAACCTCATTAATAAACACGTCACGACCATGTAAGCGCTAAATTGATTGGCCACACAACACTTAAAAAAACGTGAAAAACACTTGGTAAAAAGAATCGATTCAGCTTTTCTGTTCCGGTAAAAAAAAAAAAAAAGAAAGGAAAAAAAAAAACAATTCTTCGACATTAGATATCCATGCATATATGTATATTTTTAGATTTTTGTTAGAGCCAACAGTGTTTAATAAAACATGTTCTGATTCTGCTGGTGTTATCCCCAGCTAGAAATTGGTTGCCAAGCATTGCATCATTCCTTTCATGTGACTCCCATACGCCCCAAATTCGTCCTGGCCGTCTTATGACTGCATCACAACTGCTGCTCGTACAAACTATACGGACTGGAGAGAACCAGCTGCGACGACGACAGGCCACGCCCATTTAGCACAATCCGAGCAGCCTATTGGATGTCGCCAAGGGAAAGATCTCACCATCGTGCTTCTGATTGGACAAACCCACCGTCGGTCACCCCTCATTCAGGATAGGTTGTAGTGAAACTAACTTTTCATGCATAGTTCGGTTGGCGTCTTCCTCAATAAAAACACCGCCGGGAGTTTCCGTAAAATCACATTCAGCTGTCAAGACTGAACAATGGTTAACATGAGCGATCATCAATTTTTACTAAAATATCTACTTTCAGCTTCGAGACAGTCGAGACGGCGAGCTAATAAAAGAAAGAGGGTAAGCAAGAGTTCATATTCATTGTAGTTGGTCGATGTTTTTTGGGGTGTTTTGTGAACCTGGTATGAAGTGGTCCGGCCGGTGGGTGCGTGTTTTTTATTTATTTATTTATTTGACATTTATCCCAGTGCCGTTTTTAGAATAACAGTTGTTTAAATTGGTCATAATCCACATTGAGTTGTTTTTATGTGGCTGTTTGTTTAGTTTTTAAGCTGTCAAATAGACTTTTAGCGAGAAGTTGCTTTAGCTGCTGTCTAATACAGCCGCTCACATCTTAAGGCATATTTGAACTGTAACAATGTGTACGAATGTGTTCATCCTTACGGCTTTTATTTCTGTACTATGCTTTGAGCAGACACAACTCACATCGTTTCTCCCAGACTATTCTTTTTTTTTTTTTGTTTCGCTCATTCCTAATGCTGGACTTACATTTCCATGACGTAACTGTCTTGGCTTACAGCTGACATGGATATCAGCTAAAACCATTAAAACTTTTCTTTTCTGTTAAATTTTTTAAGTGTCGGTTTCAGTTACAAAACCCAAGTTTTTAAACGTGGCACACACCCCAAAAAAATAAATTAAAAGTTTTAGAAAGGAAACGATCTTCATTTAACATTTAGATTTAATTATACTGAGTTTAAATAGATGGAACTGAAATTGTAATTTTAATAAAATGTGCCAACGTCTGTTTTGTATAGTCCTTTTTATATGGACTGATAAATGTCAGACATGAAGTGTTTCCTTGTGCTTAAACCACTTGTTTTTCAACCTGAACATGTTTTAAGAGCCGCAAAAAGCAGGGGGCGCAGTGGAGAATATTTTGGTCTTTGTTTACAACCGATATGTTTATATTAATTTATGCCCCTTTTATTTTTATTATCATCTTAAGGTATTTATGATGTGCTTTTACCCCTTTTTGTGAAAATAAAAGAAAAATCCTTTCTCCCCATCAGTTGTTTTTTGGCACCGTTTTGTTTTCTTGCTCTGTGTTTGCTCAAATCATCATTTTTCATTTTGAAATATCAGCAATTTTTAGCAATAAAATAAAACTTGTTTTAATTGAATACAAAATAACCCATATCTTTTGTGTGTGTTTTTCTTCAGAATTATTGGGACAATATATCTCCAACAATTTTCCAGACTTGATTAGCAGAGAATTTCTAAAGGTAAATTGACTTTTTGTTTGACTCGTTCATGTGATCATTTTTAGTTGTTGTGACCTGAGGCATGATTTATGTGGTATGCAGTTACTGTCTGTCTGTTATTACATTTTATAATCAGGAGTAATGTTATTTGGCCTTACAGAAAAGTGGTTTAGTTTAGTTTTTTTTTTTTTTTTTTTCTGAAGGAGTTATTTTGGCTCATCAGTAGTCTAACATGCAGCTGCTTTTTGCTCCTCTTTCATCTGCTTCCTTACTCTCCTGGGTTTGGCGGCTGCTCCCACCCACCAGGTCCAGTTTAAACTGTGTGGCCGTGTGTCTGTGTGTTGCGACTGATTGGCGAGATGACTGCCGAGTGGCTACACCTGCCCCCGCCGTACCCTCCTGGTGTAGGGCCGTTGTATGGTGCAGAGTTGGAGGCGTGGTATGAGGACCTGCAGGATATTCTGGGCTCCGATTCGGGAGGGGCAAAACTGGCACGTGCCCCCACATGCACTGAGGTCAGTAGTTTAAAAACTACATTATTGTAACTGTTTTGTAGTTTGTAGTTCTCTTTAATGTTTTCCAAACAATTGATTGGAAAAAGTTTATTTATTTTTCTTTTGTTTACTTTCTGCTTGTAGAAGGAGCCCGAGTTTCTGGATGTTCTGGAGAGTTGTTCTTTGACGTGGCTCACCGATGGAAACCAGACATGGGCTGAAGGTGTCCAGAAGACAACAGAAGAGCTCCACACCACCCAAACTTTGCATCACTCCTCGTCGTCGTCCTCTTCGTCCTCCTCCTCCTGCATGAGTCCAGCTGTCGCAGAGGAGCAGCGAGTGGAGGCCGAGAGAAGTGGAGGTGGCGGTGACTTGCTGCCTCCGGAGTTCTTCGAATTGCTGAGTGAAGGAGGAGTGGGAGTGGTGGATCAAAGCGGAGCTGTGATCAGCGGTGGCTATTATTATCACCATCAACAACATCACCACTCCAGTAACCTCCATCCTGCGTCTCCCTCAGCCAGCGAGGAGGAACTGCCCTGCGTCCCAGATTCTCCCTCTTGCTCCTCTTCAGCCTCCCAGTCGCCGTCTCAAAATTGTTCTCCTCCATCCTCACCTGTCTCCTCTCCCTCCGACTATTTGTCCTCCCGTTTGGGGAAACGGAAGAGGACCAGTAGTGAGAGGGCCAACAGTGCCTTGTCCTCGTTCTCCTCCTCCTCCTCCACGCAGCGCACATCCTACTCGTCTACCAAAAAGAGTCGCAAAGAAAGAGAGCAGGAGAACGAGAGGAAAGTACAAGAGCTAACGGAGCAGAACGAGCGTTTGAAAGCAGAGATTGAAAGGCTGGGAGAGGAGGTGCAGAAGACGAGAAGAGCTCTGATTGAGAGGCTAGTCAACACCAGGAAATGAAAGACGGGGGGGACAGATGGAAGACAGCAGTACACGATAAAAGGTCCTACAGAATTAGAATAAGCAGTGGTGGGAAAGCTGAAATGCAGTGGTCAGGATATGACAGACAGAAGAATGGAAACCAAAGATACAATTTTAAAGGTGAAAGTTTTAGGGAAGAAATGCAAGTAAAGATGGCAAGAAAAGCACTGAATGTCCAAGATAAAACACAAAAGAGTTCAGAGAGAAAAGGCTGCAACAGCATTGCGGAAAATTGAAAGGACCCTGAATGTATGCAGAAGGAAAGATGGCTTGAGATGCAAATCATGCAGTGAGTTTAATGAATGTTTTTTTATATAAGGAATTAAAATAGGTTCAATCGAATGGAATGGAAGGAATAAAAATGGATCATTAGTTGAGGGTTTACTGGAAAGGAGGCTGAGTTTGAGAGAGCATTTCATTGTTATTTATTCCCACCATTTTGCAATAAATTGTAACTTCTTCCTTAAGGGCTACAATCTGGCTAGCAGAGATTATTTGCCCCAATTTCTGAAGAGTTTTGGAGCTCAGGAATAGTTTGAAAGTGCCCCGTGCAATGTGAGTATGAGAACATGTTTTTTTCCACCTTTTTAAAACACTAAAACAAAACAAAAAAAAACATTTTTTTCCCAAGTTTTATACTGTATAACCCACGGCTTACGTTTATATTTAGATAAAGCAAGCAATTCGGCTATACTTTGAAGCTGACCTTTTCTATCATTTTTGGGATGTTGTGGTAGAATTTAGTTCTACCTAATTTTGCTATTTTTCTATAAAGCTGTAATATATATTCACAATTGTACAGTAATGGCTTGTACTGTATGATCAACATACTGGTTGTTTTCTTATTGTACTCAAATTGTTTTTCATTAAAATATGCATGGCTTTTATTACTGCATCATAATTGCGTATTTTACCATATTCATTGTAATTACAACTTTGCAATAAAACAAAGTAAAAACATGTATTTCGAGTCAGATATTGTTTTATTTGCCTTGTTGATGTTTGTGCTGTTAGTTTTTTAAAATGGATTTAGGAAAAGAATAAATCAAAGTAACAGAATAAAACAGGACATTGCTCCCCACTATTTATAGATCCAAAACGGGTGGTTTTAGCAAAAAAAAATTTTTCCAGAGGATATAAAAAAACATCTTTAAATGTGAAACACACCTTCCAATATCGTATGCTGACTTTATCACAGGGAGAGTATAAAATCAGTTTCTTTTGGTGTAGGGATTGGGAAAAAATCCCTCCATTCTGTAGCTGTATTCATTTGACTGTCTCTTTGTGTTTTCATTTCCCCGTCGGCCTATCCAGCATTTCATTAGTCCTCGGTGCCAACACCACATTGTCTTAGATTCTGTCACGGCTTTGCCTTAAGCTAATACCCTCATCTCTCAGTGTACATCTTGTTCCCATTTTCTATCATATTCAAAACCATTCTGTTCCTTCCTCTGACTAACCTTCACTTTTTCTTTCCCTTTTTTTCCTGCCTCACTTCTTCTTGCCCTTCTGAGGTTCAGGGTTCTTCCCCTCAGCGAGAGCCAGTTGTTTCTTAAGGTCCAAAAGTTTGGACACCTCTGCTGTGATCACGTCCTTCTCTGCCTTCTGGGCTTTCAGTGCTCGGACCTTTTCCCCCTGTGAAGAACGAGGAAAAAAAAGCATCTCCACATAAATTGGTGTCAAATTAAATGCTTGTAATCTATTTCAGCATGAAAATACCAAGGCATTTACTAATCTGGAAATTTGCGTTTAATTTGGAGCTGCATTAGCAGAAATGACACATTTAAATCTAAAAGCTAAAATTCATAAAAGTTAAACTGAAAAAATAAATAGACAATTGTGATTCAATAAACGCAAACCTGCACACAACAATTTCTTACCTGGAAAAAACAAATTTATACCTTTCAAAACAAACTTATTTCTCTAATATTTTGCGCGGATTATTTTATAATGCTGTTTTTACCTTCTTTTTTTTTGAAATTATAAAACAATTAGCTTTTTACTTTCATTGCAAATGAAAAATGTTAGAAATAAAAGTTTTTATAATTTCTGAGCGATTCCTTTAACAGTGTGGCGAAACGATGGTAAAACGGAGTACGTTTAGTGTTTGGCGGATCAGTTTACTGTCGGTGTTGAGCTCACCTGCTCAGCCACAGCCTTGGTGAGCTGCTTGGCCTTCTCTGGGTCCACTCCGACCACCGCCGTTGGTTTAACGCCATCAGAGGGAGCGGCTGCAGCAGCAGGTTGAGCAGTGGTGATGTTCTCCGATGGTTTCTGAAGATGTGAACAGACGAAGGATTTTTTTCAAGCTTTTCAATGGAAAGCTCTACTGATTACTTGCTTTATTTCAATTACACTCCAAACGCACATTGTTAATGAGATTTTATGAATCGCTACGTGAATGGACAATGAGTCACACTAGGATGAGTGAAAATCCAACATAAAAAGGCGAAGAATTGGCAGCTAGTGTTAGTGAGGGCGGTCGGTAATCAACACTGACAGCAGCACAAGTGTGGACTGACTCTTCACAAACACATGCCACTCAATACCTTCTTATTAGATGGCTCCTCTTCAGGCTACAGGCAAGAAGGTTTAGAGAGGGATTATCTTTATTTATATGATGGATGTGACATACATAATTTAAGTATTTTCACTGCATTTTGTTCCTTATGTTTTAAGAAAAAGACACTTTTTAATTTCCAGTGACAATTCGACAGAGGCATGCGAACAGTTGGACCTATATGTTTAATCTTAACCGTGAGCTTTATAAGAGGTTAATCCACATCGATATATGACCTGTCTGAACTCGTGCACAGATCATTAGACATTATAAACATCAAATACCTGCTGTCCACCAAATCTCTTCTTCAAAGCTTCAATCTGGTCAGCCTCCAGTTTCTGAAATAACGGACTGACCTGGAAGTAAAACAGGTTGGCAGATGCAATAAAAAAAAGAAACAAATCAAGATATGTATGTAGACATTGACTAAAACTTAGTTTTTTCATCCCAAGATCAATTTAGCTGAATATTTTACTCTGCTTATCTTTGAATAAATAAGATTATTCAAATACACAGATAATTATCTATGTGTGGTTTTCAGGTCTTGGTCACTCTCACATAAAACACACAGTGAGAGGAAGCAGTTTGTCAGAGAGCTCTTATATGTAAACGTTTTGTCTGGTTTTCTGTCATGGAGGGTCTTGGTGTTTATCTGCAGACTGCGGTTGCCAGTCGTGACAGTCGGGCTGTTTTAACGCAGCGTTGTCAAATTGCTGCGCAGACAAGCGACCACAATTAGACCTGAAGGGACAAGTGGCCTGAGAGAAACTTGCTGTTTGCTGGAAGGCTGAGACCTCCATTTGCTATCTATTCTCTTATTCACAAGTGTGTGTGTGTGTGTGTGTGTAGGCATTCACAAAACTGCAATGCCTTCAACATTACTGAAATACTGACAGACTGTTGCGTTCTCATTGTATCACCCAGCTTCGACACGCTGCACGTTTTCTGCGTCTGCAAAGGTGGAACTTATCTATCTTGCATGCGGAGGTCATACTCACGGTGCCAATGCGGTGGCCGGCGCTCAGAGCGCACACAAACGTTCCGGTGCCTTGCAGCATGGTATTGATACAAGACTGAGGGGCGTTGAGCTGATCCCTGATGGTTTGGCTGACCTCTGGCATATAAGGTAAGAGCATCACTGACAGCAAGCAGGAGATATTCACAGAAACGCCCGTCACGGTGCCGGCACGCCGCCTGAAAACATCAAACAGGTCATATCAACTCATCAGAGGCAGAAGAATAAATTACACCTGAATCTGTGTAAAATAAAATCTGATTTTATTTTATTTTTTCAGTTTAAAGACAAAAAAAGATGAAATTCCACAAATAATAATAAAAAAAAAAACTATACAGTGCTGTAGACTGGTTTAGGTCATCTTACCTTTCCAGCTCTCCACCTTTGATCTTCTTCCAGGGTTCATTAACCTGAATGTACTGGTTGCCATGCCGGGAAATGTTCAGGATGTGTTTCAGGGCATCACGAATTCTGATGAAACGAACACAGCGTTAACACAGTAAAACATACAATAACACTAAACTTGCATATTATGTCATTTTATTCGTCAATCAAATCTAATACTTAAGCGTCTAAATCTAACATCATGTCCTTACGATTGTTTTTCACATTCAGTGAGATCAACTGGTCTTACCTGACTTTGTCCAGCAGCTGGATGTACTGCTGCAGTTCCCAGCCCACCAGAGCCAGAAGCTTTTTATCTTCCCGCTGCAGATCCATCACAGGCACACATCCCTCAAAGAACCTACTAACAAACATCCCGGCTCTGGAAGAGAGAAAAAAGGGTTCATACAAAACAGACTATTTGACGGACTGTCAACAGAATACTTTTACTGAACAGCAATAAAGCTCTAAACTCTTTACAGATCTTATAATCACCTGTATAATAAAAGCTGCAGCATCACTAATAAAGTACTGCCTCAAAAACTGGATTCAGGGAAGGCCTCGATTTATGTTCTGAAGAAAGAATTCTTTCTACTTTAGGCTGAACGCAATTTACAAGATATTTTTGAAGCAATTAGGCATCGGCGTTGCTGCCCGAGACCAATTTTGAAGATCAAGGTACTTTGGGGGGAAAAAACGCAGCTGAGAAACATCTTTGATGCAGGATTTAACCCTGATCTTTTAAAAATCATTTGAGGCGATGTAATTGGGGCTAAATTACGCCATCTCAAACAAATTTAGAAAACTGGGGTGAGCGTCTCGTAATAGTGCTGTAACAGACGTTATCCAAGGAATACAACAATTTGAAAACTAAGTTGTTAATTGGACTTGATGACAGTCTTGCTGCATTTTTACATCCTGTGTGAAACGTGAAGAAAGTGGGAGCAACCTGAGGTGACACAGCTTTCTCCTTTTATCTGATGACTGATAGGAACAATTAAAATAAAACTTAGTCATATATTAGGAAAGTGTGTTACATAAAGACAAAAACACTTGGTAAGCATATTTTTATCACTGTAGAAGCTTCGGTTCTGAAGTTAGTAGTGTTCAAACTTACTACGCAAATCAAACAAAGACAACTAGATTTACTTTTGGTACCTATGACCGTTACTGACCGGTTGATGAAGTTTCCCAGGTTGTTGAGCAGCTCAGAGTTGTTCTTCAGAGCCATGTCAGCCCACGAGAAAGCTGAATCTTGCCCTTCTGGACGCACATACAGGAGATAGAACCGCCACACATCAGAGGGGATGCCCGTGTCTTTCGCCATGTCACCGAACACGCCCACACCACGGCTCTTGGAGAACTTTGTGTCCTCATAATTCAGATATTCTGAGGGGGAAAATTACAGATCAGGTTACATAATTTGGGTTTTAAATCATTCAAACAGCTAATAATCTGGCATATAAATAGTTAATAATCTAGTTAACTCATTCCATCCTGATAAGTAATTACCGGTGGCAATTAGATGGTTGACCAGGGTGTAGTTGTCCTGTGCTCCCAGTAGAGAGCAGGGGAACACTACGCTGTGGAACGGCACGTTGTCTTTGGCCATGAAGTTATACAGCTCCACCTGGTGGCAGAGACACAACACGGCGAAGATGACATCATATTAGATCATCATGAGATCATCCAGTTCAAAGAGGCTTTATCTGCCCTCCCCAACCCCTCCCCAACTCTCTTTCTCTCTGCAAATACAGAGCATCGCACGCTCGTAAGAGGGGCTCAATCCTGGGGTTTTACACAGCGAGGGATGAGATGAGTCAGGGAGGCTTATGAGGGTGCATGTCAGACTTCTGAGCTCTCAGGTTCTGGGTCAGTTGAGTTCACATGTACATAACCATGTTAGATCATTAGCAGTTGATTCCTGTTTGTAAGTGAGGGAGCTGGGTGAGTCAGGAGCCCAAAGCATCAAACTCAACTCAAATGGCTCCTTTTTTTTTAAG